TGAAGCGAGAAGAGGGCGAACACGTGAGCGCGGGAACTTACAAGGCTGTTGTGTGAGGAGCCGGTTGTAAGGAAGATTTAAACAAGGAGTAATGTACAATCGGTCAACAATTAAATTGTACATGAAAGATAAGAGTTATCTTTTAGGGCGCTACAGGCTTGAAACAACCACTAGTTTTGGATAGAGAGATAAGGAGATGACTCAGCTAATGCGGGTCAACTTTGTTAATGAAGCTAGTCTAAGAATGATACTTACCTATCCCGTATGTTAAAAAGTAGGAAGATTCACTTTCGCGTATATATGGATTTGGCAAACATTGAAATACTCAAGTCTACTGTCATAAAGCTAGAGCGGTGTACTGGTGGTAAAGTCACAAGTCTCCCCACGCCAATTTGTCAAGTAATTCACCAGATTCGCCGAATCCGGATCAACCGGATGACGACGTTTCATGGGCTTCCAGCGGTTATAAACACGGCCTCCTCACAGCCCTCACCAAATTGCAGTGAAAACTAAGCCTGACCTGTTATTGGCTAGTTACGTGCAGCACGTTGGTGATATTTCAGTTCTGGTAGCTCTTGGCCACTAAATGATCACAGTCAGCTTAGAGTTACTGTCGGCTTCTTCGTGTCCACTGGTAACCTCATAAAACTACAGTAAGATTGAATTTGATGGGCTTATTGCAACCGTTTGTCATGTGGAATGGTCGCTTCCACAAGATTCCTAAGGTAAAATCCTTTGCTGTGTTATAAAAGCGGGCTTACATTTATTATGCGGTTTATATGTAATCATCATATATTTGAAAATTGGACCATTGAAAGTACATTAGCCTGACAAGCGGATGTTTAGTTGGTTAGATGGTGACGCGTACTGTAAAACTCTGTCGAGGGTTACCAAGTGTACAAGAGGTAGCGGAATGTATGCAGAAATACATGAGTACAGTCAGTTTAAACAGCAGCTTACAGTCTCTCCGAAGTCCGCTCCCAAGAAGGCGTTCAAATACGAAGCAGCGCCTGAGGCTTGCAGGTGATGAACAAGTGTTACAAGGCTCCTAGCACTAAATGTTTTCCGTACTTGAGCTTTTCTTCGCGTCCATGCTTAGAAATGACCTGCGTCTAGATTGAATTCGACGTTTGAAGCCCCTAGCAAAGAGGGCTATTGTGTACACGATGTGCGCAATCTACTTACCATTCCTGAAGACACAGGATGTTCCTAGCCTGACAAGCTCCACCCGCTGATTCTCAAGCCATTATCGGCCATGTTCTCGCTTACTGGGCTGTTCAAACTACCGCTGTCGGAAGGTAAGTTGCCAAGTGATTGATAATGCATGTTGAAGAAGGCGATTCGGCCATTTGAAAGCGCTAGCAAGACGAATAATTACCAACCTATAAGTTCGACGTTCCCTGGACGGTGAAAAAGGGTCTATTGTATTCGCTTGATTTCAGAAAACCTCCCGGACACTAGCACAGCACAGTTTCTTGGAAGGCTGTTCAGGTGTAACTAGTCTGTTATTGATGAAATATGTAGGTTTAAGCAGTGAACTAGGGGAAGTGTGTAGGCGTGATATGCATCTACTTCAGCAAAGCTTTTGATAAAGTGAAACATAAGATAATTCTCTACAAGCCGATTGTGTACGGTGTTGGTAGCTGATTTCAGCAGTGGATAAGTGTCTGTTTTATTTGCCTAAAGTGGAGGATAGACATACTTTTTAGCTAACAGACCGGTAATGGGGCTCTTTTTATTTCGGATCCAAAGTATAGATCAGCGTCAACTTCTTCGGTCGCCAAGTACTTCGATTGCAAACGACGTGAAGAGCTAGCTGAAAATCAATATTCTAAACGAGTGTGACCTGCTTCAGTGCGAGCTCAGCCATCCGTCTATGTCTTTCGCATAGGTTGATTTGCTGCTAAATTAGTCGATTCGGTATCCATTAGCCTGAAGAAGGGTGAGAAATGGTGCCTGCACCTTCTGGCCGGCCAGCCACGGCATCCCACACGCTAGGTTGAGGACACTGATTTTCTATCGCACTGCAATTTGAAGTCAAGAGGCAACACGAAAAGGCTATGTGGAAACGCACTATGGATTGGTTGTGTGCTCAAACGCAGCTTTCGCAATTGGCCTGAAGTGATTGCCATTCGCCTCTTCCATCATGGGAGTAATGCTAGAGTGCGTATGGCCAATTGCCTAGTCACTAGTGCCCAGGAACCAAAACGGGAATGTGTTCACGTGACTAACAGGAGCATCCCCAGTTTACGGGTCTGTCGTATGAAGAGCAATACCATATCGACACTTTCGAGTCTGCATGATGAAGAATTAACGGACATGACATCTGGGTGGATTTCCTGTGCTGAAGTCCCTCTTGCATGTGCGCGCACCAAGCTATCCTCACGTGCAGCGATACAAGCGCGTAGTACCGGACTTAAAACACATTGCTCAACTTCCACATTTCAGCGTCGTGTGGGGAAATTTTGGAACAGCATACCCGAGAAAACAATCATAGCGAAATTGATATCGAAGATAAAGAAATTCTAAGAACACTTATTTGAGAGCGCAAAATCACACAACCGAAGTATATTAACAATGCGCGGTAAGCAATGACGCTATTCCACAGTTGTACAGATACTATACAGTTGGAGCAACACAGATATGTATATTGTAGCTCACTACTTTCAGTATTCAGGAATAGTTAGAGACAGAGATAAAATAAAACCACTCGAACTCAGCATATTGGGACACCAGTCTGAGCCTTCCCTGCTAAGTTATCAATAAGTCATTTTCGTATGTCACAGCTCGCGCACACAAAGAGTGTTCAAAAGACCCAAAAGTAGCCAGCTCTATCTGCTTTTCCGGTCACTCGACACACACTCTTGGATTCGCCTTCACCATCCCGCAATATGCATCCGTTTTGAACCTCTAGAAACCATGTAGAGAAAGCAACAGGAAATCAGCATTTTCAGAACGAAGCTTGTCAGCTGCCGACTTTAACTGGGATGGTTTCAACCTAGAAGTAGCGGCAAACATTTAACGGTAATCTTAGCGTGTTTAATTTAACAATAGTCAATCATTTGGCTCAGGTATAGTGAACAATTTTGCTGGTTTATAACTTCAAATTCAGGTGATTTCGACACGCGTGCTGCAAGTACTCCATTTTGGATCAGCTGAAGACTTGTCTAGGGATTAAGATGTAAAAATAGGGAAAAACAAATTTAATTTGTTTGCTTAAAAAATATCTTCGACTACTGACAAGCGAAGAGTTCGCAATGCTCGCCGTTAGCATCAGTTCAAACTAAGTCATGGAATTGTAGCCACGAAAGTTTGCTCAAATCCCATGGTGCTCACGAAGTAGGTTAAAAAAACTTGCAGTTGATGACAATATTTTTTCTGTACCATGGGCACGCAAGAGATAAATGACTTCCAGGTCTCCTGTTGCTCTTCCTTTACATACTACGTTGCTTTTGTAGGCTTTCAAAGTCTTGTGCCTGATATGCGGATGGATGCTTGCGTAAACAGAAGCCAGAACTAACCATATCTCGTTTTAAACTAATAGTACATTGATCGTTATATATCTTGATCAACATGACGCGGAAGAACCGTGGTTGCCGATTATCTTACCTGTGCTATTTCTGTGAGACACTGGGGGAAATCTCATTCAACAAACTCAGTGGTTTGATGATGACGATTTATGTCAGCATATCTTTCCTAGTTGTTTTTATATTTTGGATTAATACTAATGCCGGATTGCATTAAATGCCCATCTCGCCCTAATTCCCACGAGTAGAGAAAAGTATCATTACGATGATGCGCGGGCGTTCACATTTTCCCGCTTAACTTGGTGATGAGAGCGGCGACTAGCACAAGGCTGTCAATTTCGCGGTGCTGGTGGCAATGTTATTGTTGAGGTTTGAGCTATTCATGCAAACGTCCTTAGGAATAATTTTGTTGCAAGGCCTTCGAAACAACACAGGGTTGTCCTCCTACAACAAATAATATGGGTTGATACCATTTGGGCTCTCTTCATTTTGAGTTGTTTCCAAGATGTCACTGGCCCACACTGTCGTGCCTGAGTTGCTTTTCTCAGTTTACAGATCACCACATTATGTTAAGGGCTTCCACCATGTCAGCATTTGAGTGTCAGCTTTGTCCATCTCCCCAAGGAATTGGCAAGTGAGCTGGAATGCTCAACGCAGGGATGGCTTTACGATTCATTCTGATAGCTTGTCTAGTGATGTCTTTTTTAACTTACTTGCATACCGCCACTTTTTTCGCTTAACGGAGCAGGTTATTTCTTTTTATCCATCTGTTTCATGGCATCTGTTCGTTTGGACCTGAACTCATCGAACGGTATTTGTTTGCTGACCCACGTAAATTATTGCATGACGTAACACTAAGAATCACATCCACTGATGTAGATACTAGGCTAGTTTGGTTCAGAAGCATAATGCACAAAGCTGGAAATCAGACAAGGAAAACTATTGATCATTTAAAACAGTAACTTGATAAAATCTGGCAGACAATACCTACCTGTATTTGATATATATAAAAGCTTGTTTTCTTATGTTGCTAATGTGTTAGCCGAAATGTTCACGGAGATTTCCGTCTTGTTGCAAGCATTTTTTTCACTAATTGGGTGAGCATTCTCAGCGCGCTGATGTATAGGGATATCTGGCGAAGCGTGAATGGGTGTGATTCAAATAGTTACTCGTGTAGGTTGTTTCAGTGTAGACCATTGATTGTATAAGAGACCATGTTCTGAATGGTCGACGAACAGGGAAGCTTTGAAATGGAACTTTTCGATCCGCCCTCTGATAATTTTGCTCGCCTGCCTTCCCTGTGAAAGTGTTGCTAAACATGTCGGTAAACAGATGAGGGAAAAATTAGCTATTGTGGGTTTTTAGCAGTCAACAGCAAATAAGCATTTTTTTCGTCCTTCGCATTTTGGTTCTTATATTGCCTTGTAGCTTACTGAACCCACTCATTTGCTTGGATATCCAGACTACTTACGAATGGCTGACGTCATCGACGTTCTCTACGGTACCCTGTATCCAAGACTTAAGAAATGGCTGGAAAGGTGGACAGATCACATAAAAATTTGTGAGGTAAAAAAGTATTTTCACTGCCAGTTTACCCCCACCACTTTTAATGTTTTACAACCGACTTTCCACGATACGTAAGGTAAATGGGTACAAATTTTTAGTGTAGAAAATATGTTGACGGGGTAGCAAAAAACACAAATATCAGTTATTCTTTCGGCGTATATAAGGTTATCGGATTCAACTAAATTTATGTCATATAATTTTCGTATCAGTTTTATAATACTTATATACATATCTCACAAATACAGCAATAAAGGCAAAACTACCGACCAATTTCTCTTCTATGCACCACTCACTCTAATCTACTAAAATGTTTTCCTTGGCCAGTGTTCTCAAATGAGCCATACTTGAAAATCTTCCTATAAACTCGAACCTAGCTTCCTGATTATTAGTCAAAATACTTTCTGTGCTTCTTTTGTTGCAGCGGTCCTTAATAATTAACTCTGGTCGATATTAAGCCAAATAACGTCTATCCAGCTACTGGACACCACGTCTGGATGACGCAGTTAATCTGAAAAAATGGGATGAGAATATACTATCAACCTTATAACGTTCGCTGTTCTAATACCTGAACGAATGATTTTGAAGCCGTTGAAGTTACAAATTAATAGTTACCATTGATTGCCTCCCGGTTCCAACAGAATATCGGAGGTATTGAGTCCGTTCACTGCAACGCTCGAAGTCTATTCCCCTTCTTACAAGTAAAGCTATCAAGCAGCTATGTAAAAATATTTATAATCTGTAAGATGCGGTTAGCTATTAGGCTAAAGCATTATATTTGACAAATAAGGAAATATGATGGTTTGCATGAGCTCCGTAAAAATGGGTTATCCGGATCTGGTTTATGGTGTGCATTCGGACGATTTGACACTTCGATTTTTCCACAACTTCTCGGCCCATACATACGGCCACATGTGGAATACGCAATACATTTCTGGCAGCCATGGATGAGGAGAGATCTCACCGCCTAGAATATACCCCAAGGCTGTGAGACCAAAAATATCTAGCTTCTGGATAATTTGCCGGATGAACGAAGGCTACAAGTGCTCGGGGTCTTCAGCGTACAGTATCGGCGATTGCGAAGGGACGTTATTTTGACTTACCAAATTTTGTGAGATCCCAACCACACGTGCCGCTACTTGCTAGAGCTCACTCACCACAACGATTTGAGAGGCCACTACCCCAAAAGTGGCAGAGCAGTACAATCGCTTGGAATACCATCGGAATACTTTTCTTACGCGTTTGCCGCACGTGGAATGCTCTAGCGGTATCTGTCATACATGCTCCCACTCGTGCAGAGTTCAAAGCACGAGTTGATCGTGCACTTGTTTCGCTTCACTATCTTACATGACCCATTACCCATAGAAAAAGTGTCTGTAAGTAATTTCACTGGCGGTCAAACCACAGATGTTGTTCCACGTTTTTCACCGCCTCTTCTGTGCGTACACCAGCAGGGGACACCATTTTTACAAATATCCCATTTGTACTCGCTTCTTATGGACTTACCTCGGATTTACAGTCTATACTATTGATACTTCAGTAAGTTCACTGATGTAAACCCAAATTTGCTGACTACATTTTTGTGTTTTGTAGTTTCATCATAACCATCCTACGGGACCTGTTAAGCATTATCTATTTTACCCGTATAAAAGCAGTGTTCCATTGTTTCATTGGCGCTGGTGCCCACCTCCAAAAAGCGATGATATAAAAATTGAGTTCACATTACAACAAATCCTTGGAACCACACCAAAATATTCCCTAGTAGTGGGGTGTCAGGCTAGAGAGGTCAGTGTAAGAAATCTGTTTGCTATAGCCCTCACAGAAGCTTTAATGTGGTGTAAGTTGTTCCATTTCTCAAAAGCCGTTACTGGTGTAGGACGGATCGATACTAAATAGTTAGCAAAATATGTGCCGTGATGTGGCTTTCAGCTTGGTCAACTGGTATTTTGTTGCTGAATTACTTTTCAGAATTGCTTGAGTAACGCACGAAATGACGCTCTGCCGGTCTCTATGCAGTACACAGAAGACAGCCCGAATTGGTGAGCGGTTAACACGTTAAGTGGCTTTCTTTTCATCCCAAATTGTGTTTATATATTTAAAATGTGGCTCACCTGAAGAATGACAGCTAGACAGCCCAACTTCTCCGTACTGCTGCTATTTGAAAGACGCACTCAGTTCTTTTGCTTGTCGACACGCAAAGTGCAAGAAAAATAAAGCGGGAGCTTCTATTCAACGAAGCCTCACGGTAAAGGTACTTCAGTCGTAATCCTCGGGGTTATTCATATTCAATAGTCCTCTGTAAATTCAATAAACCAGCTGAAAACAGTAGACCATCTCCCGGTTTAAGGATTCCATTGTTAGTCTTTATACTCAAATCAGGATTTGTGAGGACAACCGCAATTGTACGCATTTGTGACGCTTTAACTCAGAATATTGGTGAGGTGAAGTGCTTATCGCTGGTTTTTCTAAATAGGCCTAAAAGGATACTTACGGATCTACCATACACAACTATACCACTATCGGTATGGCTTGCCAATACAGTGAAAGACATTTCTCGAACATGACTCATTTTCGTTATTTAAACAGTCAGTGTACGTGCCTTCCGTCCCAAGACGCACGGTATTTGACTGCCGTTTTCAATCAATCTTCCTGTTTCCATAAGGCTACCACATCTCTTTATGTCTGTTTAACGATATAGCACATACGAAGTTTAGAAAGAGTTCAGCCGAAATTTGCGGTTACAAGTTCTCTGAAATTAGCAGTGGGAGCAAAATCTAGCTTATCGTTAATAGGCAGAGTTAGCGGATACGCAAAGACCCCTAAAAAAGGGTGTATAACATGATTCTTTAAAGGTAATCCCAAATCTCATAAACAATGGAAAGATATGTATTCCTAGTGTATGTGGCTATCATCAACAGCAGTACATCAGCTATTTGAACTGATCCTTCGCTACCATCTAACCATGAGGATCTATGAAATAAAGAATAAGAAAAGGGAGAGAAGGGAGAGACAACATACTGTCACAAACAGCTGGCTATCGTGCAAAGATAAGGCGGCATCGGCGAGCCAACTTCCTTGCGGCTTTCACAGCCAAGCGTCATAATCAGTCATTACCCAGCAGATAACACAGCACCAAACACACTTTAAACAGGCAATCCCATTAGGAGACGGCAGCAAACGCGCCACTGGTGTCTACTGCGTGCCATGTGCTGTAAAGTCTCGAGCCAAGCACAAGGTGAGTCACGTGGACTCCAGCCCGGAAGGTGAGACGGACCAATAGCACCCAGTTTGGTAGTTAATGACTTCATTTGCCGCTGCCAAGTAAACTTCTGTCCACCTCGAGCCTTGCGCCATCCTACACCTGGCAGACTGAACAAGGCCCTCCTAGGTAAGCGGTGACCAGGCAAACTTAACACGTGACCGAGCCAACGCAACTTATTCAGTGCTATCTGTTATTCTGGGGAGCTAGCATGATTATCACTACCTAGTACTCGCCTACGCATATCATCGTTGCGGACACGCTGGTGTCATCCGTCTCCAGCAATGCCTCGCAGACAACGATGATCAAAGACTTGAAGGCGCCTCAGACCTTTAGACCGAATGGGCAGAACGGCCCTCACTGTGGCTTTGTATACACGGCCGTTCTGTCGCCAAAGATGCCGCAGGTTCAAGAAGGTAGCTCTGGCTTTTGTAATGCGTGAGCTGACGTCAGTTTCTATGCGCCCAACATTGCTGATGCAGCTGCCAAGATAAGTGAAATGATCAACCACCTCGAGTTCCTCGTTAGCAAGCGTCGAGGGGTCATCAAGTTGCTGGCGGTCCTGCAGCAACAATTTGCACTTTGAAGGTGCAAAGCGCATACCAAATAATGGGACCACTCTGGATGGACTACTCAGGGTTGATTGTGCCGCCCCAACATCGTCGAAAAGCAACACGATATCGTCTGCATAATCTGGATCAACTAACCTTTCACCAGGCAACACTTCAACGCCTACACCTTGACATTCCGCAAGCGAACACTCCATGACAGAATCCACGACCAAACTGAACAAAGATAGGGAAATCGGACAACCCTGACGCACGCCACTTGTGATCGGAAAGCTATCTGACAGGACACCGTAGACCCTGACGCGACCTGTAGTGTTCGAGTATAGAGGACGAAGGATATTCACATATTTCGTGGGAACACCTTTCTGCGCAAGTATTTCGAACAGAATCGATCGATCGACTGAATCGAAGACATTCTTGAAATCGAGGAACGCAGTTATTGTCGGTCTGCATTATGCGTGGCGCTGCTATAGCACCTGCCTAAAAGTGAATATATGGTCTATACAGCCACGTCCTGGGTGGAAACCTGTCTGCGCTTTCCCAATCTTAGATTGCCGTTCCGCAATGAGGCGAAGAACTGGGGTTAGGCTAACACCCCTGTGGTTAGAACAGTCTGTGCGACTGCCCTTCTTGTATATTACCACTATAAGCTATTCGCTCCAATTAGCCGGGACACCCTCTTCCTTCTAGATACATTCGAATAAGGAGGTCAGTGCTTTGCAGAGGACCTCACCTCCATCCCTAAATACTGTACGCGGGTGGGAATCCGGGCCAGCGTCACGAAAACGATGGTGGGATGTGATCGCGTTTCGGACCTCGGCCTCTGACGGAGGCTCTAAACTAACCGTCCATGGCTCGTTCTGCACAACCAGAGTAGGAAGAGGTCCGGGAGCAGGCGGCCAGCTGAAATGATCTTGAAAATGTTTCGCCCAACGAGCCATACGGCGCTTCTTATTGTGTATCTGCACACCCGCGCTGTCTCTGATTGTCTCACTGACGCCTGGTTTCATAGGACCAGTGATGCGGATTAGCTGGAAGAGCTTGCAGTAATTACCTACTGCCCCTGCCTCCTCCATTTATTGAGCCCTACTGGTCCACCAGGCTTCCTTGTCAGCATGCGAACTCCGCTTTAGTTCGCGCCTAATAGCTCGTCGGGTCACACTGTGCTCAGAGCCAGCCGGGAGGTTTCTTCTAGATTCCAAAAGGTTCACCGACTTCTCGGAGATCCAGTGGCTGGTGCGAAGACGATTGTTAGTGCCACAAGCAGATGCTCTTGCATCGTGCATGGCCCCCGAGATCCTATTCCACTGAAGCTTAGTGTCATTAGGACAAGACAGCGGAACTTCGGTACGCAGCGCTTCTTGTTAGGCTTGCCTGACCGAGGACTGAGACAAGTTCTCCGTTGCCAATCGTAGGGGACGTCTGGTGGTCCTCCCGGTAAAGTTCATGGAGATACGACAGCGTACCAAGGCATGATCAGAGTCGACACAGGTACTCCAGTACGAGCGGCAATCCAGGATGTAACCACACCATATGTAACTTATGGCTATGTGGTCAGTTCGGGTCCATCGCTGGCCAGCTACAGGTGGACGCCAAGTGGCACTTCGGCGCCCACTGTGTCTAAAAGCAGTGCCACTAAGAAACAACTGGTGCTCCGCACACAGTTGCAGCAGACGCTCACCGTTGTCAGTCCGTTCGGAGTTAAGCCCACAACTGAATAGGCTGACGTTAACAAATTCACTGGGAAAAACGAACTTTTAAGACAGATGGTGGTGGCTCATTGTAGTTCTCCATAAAATATATGCCTAATGATTTTCGGGTTCAAGCAACCTCGATATGTTGCCGATGCATAGACATCCTCTTGTATATTATACTCTTAATAGACCTCTCTAGGGCAACTTTCATTTTGTGATGTGGTATCTAGTGTACATTGTCATTATTGTACCAGCATGTACGGATATGATGGATCAGTAGTATCTGTTTGCATAAGTACTCATTCTCCACTCCTTACCATGTATGAACAAAATGGAAATGTGATCAGCACAGAAAACACGTGGATATAATGTTTGTAAAATGTTCAGGTTATCTCTATATTATGAGTCTAAACCAGGGCGAATAACGTCGTGGACTGATGGGAGAGAGGGATATCGTGAGTCTGTAACCGCTTCTCTGTTGCCATGCTGTGAATCGTCATCACAATGAATTGAGATGTACTCGCGCCAACTCTCTTTGCTTTTGGCCACAAGTCGGTTATTTGTAAATCGACCTTTCTGCTTTTTTAGTTACACGGAATAGTATCATATAATGTCTTTAAACTTGAGTTTTCTTTTACAAACATTCAAACAAGTTATGCCATTTCTTTTTCTACACAGCTATTCGATGCAGCAGGAATTTAAACAATGGAGATGAACTTCAGGAGGCCTATGTCCAGTAGCATTTCACATGTGTTTCAAGGGATGAACAACCTGTTTATTCATATGATTCTCCTAATTTTTTCAAGATGGAACAAGCCTTAAGAGGAAAGCGGCCTTATTCCACGTGGAATTACTTATGCTACCAATGGTCCGCAGTTCCTTTTGCTGAAATAATATTTTATATCATAACCGGTATCATTCCTTCTAATCTATCTAATCTGCTATCACTCTAACTACGTGTGTTTATGTATGTAAAGTAGACGATGCAGAACCCAGCAATCTATCCAAAGAGAAAGTTCATACTTCTTTCTCATTATGCGATAACCTTAGATTCCTAGCTCCCAGAAGAGGTATTCGTGCACATGACCTTAAAGTCTATACTAATGTGCTTCAATTAAGTGCTGATTAGGGAGACACATGCGCATTAATCGTGCTCCTAAGTTACAATATTTGACCATTAAATTGGTCCATAAATCAAATTTCTGGTCATCTTATCAAACCATATTGGACCAGAATGTGGATACAGTACTTCAGAACATAAAGAGCCCAAACTGCTGGTATAATGATGTCCGTAGTTTGTGAGTTTCTTTTCACCTGATGTAACAAACGATGCGAAACTTCTTCACTAGGGTATGTTTTGACGCAAAAATGCTATGGTGGTTCTAGGCTTAAAACTGAGCCGGGTTATTGGTTTGAGAATTGTACTGTAATCCCCTATGACGATATGTTGGCGAGCCAATTTTTATTCCGCTTCATATAGTAACAAATAAAGAGAGCAACAGGGAAGTGAATTTACGCTAAATTCAACTTCTTTTCGTTTTACCTTTTGGATGAAACTTTTAATATAATACGAAATATGAAATGCAGCTATTGTAAATCCTGCTCAATGCTTATTTCCGCTAATAGTCTGAGATTGACCTTGTTAAAATATTAGGTTCTAAAGAACGGAGTTATGGGTAGGAAATACTTATTCTCAATGATTCATCAGCCACTAGGCTCATCGTATTCCTGTGATTCGCCTCATTCGATTAATACAGTGGAACTTTGGGATTTTAAGCATTACGGTATGATTACGTCTATCGAAAGCAAGCTCACCTTATTTCGCCTTTGACAATTCCACGTCGTAAGTGCGGTTTGCTTGAAAATCAAGCAGGCAGTGCGGTTTCTCTTCTTATTGATTGCATCCATGTTTGTCAGCGAATAATTTACCTTTGATGATCAGGTTACCAAGCCGTAGTATGCAAATACCAGTGTGTCTATAAAGTGTGTGAAAAACCAACAATCATTTGACTTCTGACCATGCTGGCTGACACTTGATGAACTTTGGCATCATACAATTTCTAAGCGAGGTTTATATTGATGAACTGGAGGCATTAATAGAGTGATTACTACTTTATATCTGTATGAGAGATTGACACGTTTCAAATAGTGTTCACTGCACCCCATAGAGGTGCCAGTGTAAAATATGTATGTCAAGTCATAATGTTATATCATTGGTTTACATACGTCACAATAAAAATACCGATTAGCCATAGACAATGGATGGTCTGTTGCTAACAACTGCCTATGGTGCAGCGGAGGATGTGTCGCAAAGTTTGCAGATAAGTGTATAAATATTCTCACTTATTTGACTTCACAAACAGCAGTAGGGTTTTATGGATTGCATTAGTAACATGACAGCAAAGCTAGATTTGTTTTACTCTACAGAAGCAAGACAGACAAATGCCTGCGTCACATCCGAACACGCCAAACTATAGATTGAAAAATGCGATCGCTTTCAACAAGCCAAACAGTGGTAATGAATAGGAAACAAAATGGATAGCACAGTGGGATCGTGAGATGTATTTGGTCGAACACAAGTGCCTGTCGGAAAGAGTGAACACTGAAACATTGTTGTCCGTTGCGTTCTAAACCTTAGTGTGAAGAAATCACGGACTGATTCATGTCTAATCGAATCGCCCTAGGTAAACATGTCCAGCCATAGGATATCCTGAACAGTGATGATCAGATATCCCCACAAAGGACTGCGATTGACCCTACACGATGCACATCAAAATATATGCTGCGTGGCCCGAAACTTCTACGCAATGGACAATGAACAATGATTTATAACGGGCAAAAAAGTAGGTTCTTGACATGTCCCGTAGGGTGTTTAGAGTGAGAAAAGCTAGATCAAGGGATAATGGAGTCGTCAGTTTGAGCGATTACAGATTGAACTGCACTGCCGTATAAAGGGAGTTTGAAATGAGAATGTACGCACACAAAGCAATAAGGGAGTGGTTATTGATCACGTAATAGGCGATAAAAAATAAAAAATAACAAGGACAGCGCTTACTCGTGTGCAACTACCTTGGCTCGAAGGGATAGCGAAATCCAATTTCTATAGTAGTAGCGTTTACAGTGGTGCGATGGTTTGTGTACCTCAGTGATCCTTTGAGCTATGCTGGGTGGTGCTTTTGCACCTTCAGAGTCACTCATACCAGATTGGTCAATGGTTAGAGGCCAGACAAACTCAGCCTCCTGGTCCTCCAGGTTGGGGGTTGGAATGAGGGTGGCACCTTATTCCTTAAAACGGGCTCCTTGTAGCCCAACGCCAAACCCGCTGCGTTGCGGTCAGGTTTTGAACCAAAGGCTTTGGTTGAGAACCCTAATCGTTCTCCTATCTAGGCCTGGGCAACCTGACAGTATCCTGCCCACGCAATACAATGAATCTTACCTCAAACAAATGCTTGATGCTCTGGCCACCGCAGAGGATAATCAACGGTGCCCTATCTGCTGCATCGAGCAGGGTGGATAGGGGTTTGAATGCTACTGCTCAAGCCTTCCCGTCTTCTTATTCCCCATCTTACGCTTTTTCACTCTTACCGTCCCCTTCCAACTTCACTTATATCCCCCAGTTTCAAACCCCCGATTCTTGGCCCTCCCCCAACATGCTTTGCTAAGCATTTATCTTCTAATTTCAACTCACATGTGAACGCGGAGCGTCACTCCTCTCCTGTCGACAAGCCCATGTCCAACCAAGCGGTCCATTTCAGTTCACCGGCTTCCATTTGGAGCCCTCGATCCTCCTTCAGATTGGCATGCCTCAATGTACGCGCATTACTACAGATCGGTCAACAGGCAGCACTTGTCCGAACATTGGAGACCCTCTCGATCGATATCTGCTGCTTATCAGAGACCCGCCTGCAAAACTCGAGCTCTGTGCTCACTCTGTGATCCCCTTCAGGTGACACTAGCAACACTTTCTCATTACGCCCATCCGGTAACGATGCAGCTTCGAGCACCGACCAAGCTGGTGTTGGCATTTCCCTGAGTCCCCGGGCTGAAGCTGCTCCGGTTGTTTGGATTCCAATCAGTAGCCGGATATGTGCGGTCCGATTGGCTGGCTCGTTCAAAGCTTCGAAGTCGCGCGGGACTAATAGGTGTCTATTCATCATCGCTGTCTACGCGCTCCCAAACTGTAGCGATGATTCGGTAAAGAACAACTTCTACCGCCAAGTGACCCAGCTCCTTCGCCACAGAAGAAGCACGGACACGGTTGTGCTGGCGGGGGATCTGAACGCACAAGTTGGAAGGTTGTCCACTGATGAAATGCATCTGGGCGGTCAGCACGGTGTAGACTTCCGTAAGGATAACAGTGAGCGGTTACTTTATTTGTGTGAAGATGCTCGCTTATTTCTTGCGAGCACTAATTTCCGACACAGCACCCGCCGGAGGGTGACTTGGCGCCCACCAGCCTCGAACCAAACTTGGACGCAAATTGATCATATTGCGATAAGTTACCGATGGAGAGGCTGCGTCCAGAACTGTCGCTCGATTTGGAGCACATGTGTGGACACTGATCATGCACTTGTATGTGCTGACATGCGGATGCGCTCTGGCGGACGCCCACGACGACGCTGTGAGCGCATTGACACCAGCCAACTGACAAAGCCAGCTGTTCTGAATGCTTATCGAAGTACGCTGACATGCGAGTTGAGTAAGCGCTCACTGGAGACAATTGCTGGTCACTGGTCACATGTTCACCAGACCATACTAGGAGCAGGCAAACCCTCAAGTGGTATGTCTGATGGCTAACACGGACATTGGGTCTCTTCTCGGTCTCTGGAACTTATCGATGCTCGCCGGCATATTCCGGCTTGAAGCGAACACAATGAAACTCGCAAAGAACTCCGGGCAAAACTCCGTGCTAGCCTGAAGAGAGACCGCGAATCCTGGTGGTCTCACCGTGCATCAGAGATGGAAGTGGCCGCTGCCCTTGGCAACCATCGTAAGTTATTCCGTCGGATACAGGAAACGAGCAACAGGAGACCTGGTGTTAGTGAAACTGTACGTGACGAGAGTGGACAGCCTATCCACAATTTGTCAAAACGTTTGGAGCGTTGGGCTGAGCATTTTGAAAAGCAATTTAATCGGCTATAATTGTTCGATTCTTCGCCGACCAGTGATCGCCCTGCTCCGTGGGCTGTCCCTTTGGATCCATCCTCTTGCTCAGAAGTCGAACATGAGATCGGACTGTTAAAGTTGAACAAAGCCGCGGGACCAGATGAACTTCATCCAGCCTTCTTCAAATTCGGAGGCTCTGCTCTTGTTGATGCTTTACATGAATTACTAGTGAAACTGTGGAAGCAGAAGACTGTCCCAACCGACTCGATCCGCACCGTCATAGTCCAAGTATTCAAGATAGGTTTGCGTTGGAATGCGGCAACCATAGAGGAATCAGTCTGATCTCCATCGCCTTCAAATTACTCGTCTTCATAATCCTTCACAGACTGACTGGCGCTCGTGAAAGCCACATTCATGAGGAGCAAGCCGGGTTTCGTCGTGGTCGTGGCTGCATCGACCACATCCTCACATTGCGTCAGTTGTTGGAGCACACTCACACATGCTGGCGGCCCACCATAGTCGTGTTCCTTCGATTCGACGTGTCCTTTGGAATTGTCTACTCAGGAAAGGTGTGCCCGAGAAATATGTAAATATTATCCAAGCATTATACGCGCGTAGCATGGGCAGAGTGAGAGCTTACGGCAAGCTGTCGCCACCCTTCAGTATCTCCAGCGGTTTGAAACAAGGATGCCCGCTGTCACGTTTCCTTTTCAACTTGGCTATTGATGAAGTCATGGAGATTGCATTTA